TTTTTGAAATATTGAAGGTGGATATCAAGCTTTCTTCGGCATTTCATCCTCAAACGGACGGCCAAACAGAACGGGTGAATCAAGTTTTAGAGCAATATTTACGTTGCACCATCAACTATCAACAAGATGATTGGGTCGCATATCTACCGCTAGCCGAGTTCGCATATAACAACACCCTTCATGCGTCAACTCAACAAACGCCATTCTTTTCCAATTATGGATACCATCCGAAGCTTGACTTATGGAGTTCGTCAACGATTAACAATCCGGCAGCTGAAGGATTGGTGAAGGAGCTTTCGCAGCTTCAAACTACATTGAAGCTTCAATTGCAAACTACCCAAGAATCTTACAAGGCGTCCGCGGACAAATTTCGGAATCAGGCACCTAAATTCACGATTGGAGACAAAGTTTGGCTGCTTCGACGAAATATTAAGACCAAGCGGCCATGTGACAAATTGGACTATCGGAGATTGGGACCATTTGTTATCCGGAAGTAGATCAATCCTGTAGCGTATCGTCTGGAGTTACCAGCTACTATGAAGGTACATCCTGTCTTTCATGTTTCTTTGTTGGAGCCTTATCGAGAATTGTCTTTTCCTGGAAGAGTACAATGTCCACCACCTAGCATAGAAATAGAGAACCACGAAGAATATGAGGTGGAAAAGGTCCTGAATTCACGGCAAAGACTGGGTAAATTAGAATACTTTGTGCATTGGAGCGGTTACGATATTAATGAACGAACATGGGAGCCGGCCGAAAATCTCGCGAATGCGTCGCAAAAGGTACAGGAGTTTCATCGACGATATCTTGAGAAACCCAAGCCGGTTCGACGATAGCTTCTTACTGAAGCTTGCTCATCTAGAAAATAGAAAAGAGGAGAGAGCACCACCAAAATCCATAGTTGATGTAGTCATTCTCTCCAAGATAGCGTAGAACTTTGTTAGTAGCCCAAGTTTGTTCTTATTGTTTTAGCCTTTGAATATGGATAGCCAAGATACTACACTTGTCATGTCATCTCAAGCAACTAGCTCACGAAGACGACCGCGAGATGAAGAACCGCTTGCACCACAACGACGTTGAAGGATTCCGAGCAACAGATCGCTGGTGATTGTATTTGAGGTCGAGCCTGCCTACAATGGTCAGCCAGAAGGAGTGTTTGCAGGACAATTTCACAATGAAGACACGGAGGTTCATGCTTGGTCAGAAGTTGAAGGCGTGGGCTACTACCGTTGGCTTCAAGGACCATTGAATCACTTGCCTCGTGAACAACAATTGGAGTTCATAGCAGAGGTTATGCGACAGATCTTCATTTTCTTGCGTTGGTATTGACTGACAATAACATTGCTTCTCGGAGACCTCGAAGCTAGAGGAGGAGGTGATGTTAGGGACATAGTCCTTAGACCTTTCTAGAGACAAGTTTCTAAAACCTTCTAGAAAGAAGTCTCTAGAAACTTCCAGAAGATTCCTTCAATATTCTCTTAGAATATTCTTTAAAGATTCTCTAAAGATTCTTTGAAGATTCTCTAAACATTCCCTGAGAAGGCTCTAGAAGATTCTTAGAATATTCTAGTAGATTCTAGGAAGATACTTGAGAAGCTTCCTAGCTCTTGGGTAGTTGCTCGAGAAGCTTCATAGTTCTTGGGAAGCTTCT